CAGATGACAACTGTGGCAGCCACGGCAGTACACCTCTTAAATCTCCAAAGGCAGGAAACGTTATTGAATGACGTCCCCAGCCATCATGTTTGAGCCAAGGCCACACTTCCCATGGGTTTCTCCTAGCCAATAACTGAGGGTTAAATCCCAGAATAATCTGGCTGGGGAAGCGCTGGGCCAGATTAAGGGAGCAAAGAGACTATACACCGACATAGCAAAAGGAATTAGCTAGCATGGACTCGGAGGAGCTGAGGCAGTATCCCTGAGATTGGATGAGAGGGCTTGACCAAGAGGGCTGGAATACAAGACTGGATACGCAAAAATTCATCAACTTCAGGTACTTTCTCGGGACACAAAACCTAATAATCTGGCAAGGACCCTAGGAGATAGGGCAAACTACTGCCAGGGTGACTCTTAGAGACCTGGAACAAGTGATGTCAAACACTAAGTGAAGCAGAAAAGCTGAGCTGATAGAAGTGGGCAGGCTGGAATGAATTTCCTTTGAGGCAGAAAACCCACCAGAGGATAATGTTCCATGGGAGGACTTGGACAGTGCACTTGAACAGCATCAGGCATGTGCTGGTAAGAAAGGTACTAGCATCGCTAAGTGCTTGATGTGTCCTCTGCAGGCCAGTGTTGACTAGATTAGGTAATCAGAGACCTGGGCTTGTTAAATCCATGGAGATTTGCCAGCCAACTGCCCCCAACCCAAGTAATAAAAGCCAGGCAGAGTTGTTTAATCGTAGAAGCTAAGAGGCCTCAGATAACGACAAGTAAAGTTGAAGAGGGAGCCAAGGGGAATTGTGGAGATGGTTAACAGGGCACAGCATGTTTAGTAGCAAAACAGATGGGTGGCTAACAAGGATACTGCTTAATGCCTACAGCCAAAAAAGGGCAAGAATAGGGGAGCAGAGGCTGCGAATGGTCATGCCAATGGAAGTCATAATCCTTGCATAGTTCCTAAGCCTGAGTCAACAATCTTACCAACATAGGTCTTATTTTCCAAAGATCTTTTAGTTCTTCTTTGTAATTAGTTTAAATTCTCCCTAATTCCACTTAGCTTTGAACTTCAAAGGACAGAGATCTTTACCTACGTAAAGGATGCTGGGCTGTGCCTCAGAGAGCTCCTCCCAGGCCTGGAGCTCTCTCCCTGGAAGTGGGCAGAACCCCAGGGAAACACTCCACGTGGTGAGAGTCCAGGCACAAGCAAAGCAGAAGAGCAACCACTCATGAAGCCCTTTAGCTTAGACTAGCTATGCAGGACCCACCTATCTGGTGCTGGGGCCATCCTCCACTGGAGTGCCCAGCGCTGGGTTATGGCAGCCTGCCCACAGAACACAACCTACCCCAAGGCCCTGGGTCAGGCCTAAAGCAGGAGGGCAGCTAGGAGCACCACGGCAAAGGGCCCTGTCTCCCCACTGACCAGGCAGGAGGGCAGAGAAGAACATTCAGTACCCACTGGGGCTAGGCCACGGGCAGTGACAATCTGGGAAGAGAGGGGCAAGGCAGTCAGTGAAGCAGGGGCTTGGAGGAAGGGCCCACGGCAGCCCCTCCAAAGGGGTGCCCTGTCCACAAATCATTGTGAGAAGGTCACTCCTTGTGCAGGCACCACGCCAGTGTCTGGCCCACCCTTGTCGTGCTCAACACACAGAAGCCCCTGCATTCCAGTTTGTCTAGGACTGTGTGAGGAAGGTCATTGACGTAGTGCTCACAAAAGTTGTTTCCCAGGATGCTTTGCTTTGAAGCCCCTAGATGCTGCATCAGCTCCGCAATCCAGTGCTCATCGCCTACCATGGCGGGGCTCATCGCCCGCTATGATGGGGCTCATCTCCATGGGGATCTGGGTGCTGATGAGCGCAGAGGACACAGTGCATGCACCCCCGCCAGGCCTCCACCCCATGTCTCTGGGCTTGGCGCTCACGCCAGCCCACATCAGGACTGTGACCCACCCAAACATACATTTAAATAGTTTGATATCTGAGACTATTACTGAACATTTAGCAATATGACATTTACCCTTAGATATTTACTATCATGGAGCTTTGATTTTCTCAATGTATTAAAAAAAAATTTTTTTTTGAGACAGTCTCACTCTGTCACTCCAGCTAGAGTGCAAAGGCATGATCATAGCTCACTGCAACCTCGAACTCCTAGACTCAAGGGAACCTCCTGCCTCAGCCTCCCAAGTAGCTGGGACTACAGACCCACGCCACCATGCCCAGCTAATTTTTTTTATTTTTCGTAGAGATGGGGGGTCTCACTCTTGATCAGGCTGGTCTCGAACTTCTGACCTCAAGCAATCCTCCCACCTCAGCCTTCCAGAGTGCTAGGATTACAGGCGTGAGCCACTGCGCCCGGCCTAAATGTATTAAATATTAAATGTACTTAAATATGTACAAATACAGATTTGTACTTATCACTACAAACTTGATAAATACAAATATGTATGCTTTCCCCCTGTCATTTATGTGGGAAAGTTCAAAAAGGGTAGTCACACTCAAAGCTATTTAAGTATATTGCTAGCATTTAATGAGAATAAATTGTGTTGGTATACAAATACAGAAGAAAAAATTTGCAGAGCTTAACTTAACAGCTCAGTGATCCTCATTGGTCCATAGCTGTTCTAAATATTTGTAATTTTCAGTTTCCATCAATGCGCCAAAGAAAAGGATAAAAATGAAATGAAACTTTGGGACCTAAGCATCCACTGTGGCCAAGTGCCCAAACCAGTGGGTTATTTCCGTAGAGAGCCACCTGCAGAGCAAGCACACCCCAACATGTGCTGAGTGCCCACCAAGTAACAGTTGATTCCTCACAGTTATTAAATTTAATCCTCACAAAACACTTGATATTATTACACTCCTTTTGCAGATGTGGAACTAGGCTTTGAAGGATTAAGCAGCTCATTGAGAGATAGCAATAAGTGTTAGCTGTTGGGTTTGAACCCAGATCTTCTGACACTAGATGCGGCATTTGTTCTACTTTGGCATAGAAACCTATAGATCAAGAGTTGGCAAACTTTTCCTGTTAAGGGCCAGAGAGTACATATTTTAAGCTTTGTAAGCCTTATGGTCTCTGTTGCAACTATTCACCTCTGCCCTTGTAGTGTGAAAACAGCCAGAGATAATATACAAATAAGAGTTTAATTGTGTTCCAATAAAGCTTCATTTCCAAACACAGGTGGTGGGCTAAATTTGGCCAGGGGCCATGATTTGCTGACCTCCAATATAGGCTAAAACATACAAACAAATCACAAAGTGACTAGGCTCTAAAGACTCTCCTTTTCTGACCTTCAGAGGCATTTTTCGTTACTGCTCTGCTTACTGTACTGATCATGCAATAATTATGATTTCACTGTAAATTCATCTTTCAGTTCCTGTCTCTTCCACAGTGCCAGCCTGCCTCTCCCTACCACCAATTCCAGTGTTGTGGTTAAACACTTTAAGGCAGTGATCATGTCCTGACACTTTCCTTACCACTCTGAAAAAAAAAAAAAAAAAAAAAAAGAATAAGGCAGTGATCAGTAACTTTTTTTTTTAACATCATACCAATTCAGGAAAAATAAGCTCTTCCCCCTCCACTTGGTAAAAACAGCTTTATTGAATCCCAAAATGTAAAAACAATATATTCTTACAACTTAGATTCCTTTAACAAATATTTTCAGAATCATCTTTCTAATTTTCCTTTCCTTAATTTTATGTAGTGCTTTAGGCTTCAAAACATTCTAGAGGCCAGGCATGGTAGCTCATGCCTGTAATCCCAGCACTTTGGGAGGCCAAGGTAGGAGGATCGCTTTAGGCCAGGATTCCAAGACCAGCCTGGACAACACAGTGAGTCCTTATCTCTACAAAAAATTTAAAAAGAAATTAGCAAGGTGTTGCGGCACATGCCAGTAGTCCCAGCTATGTGGGTGGCTGAGACAGGAGGATTTCTTGAGCCCAAGAGTTCAAGGCTGCAGTGAGCTATGATCATACCACTGCATTCCAACCTGGGCAGCAGAGCAAGACCCTGTCTCCAAAAACAAAAACAAACCAATAACATGTCTTCTAGTATATTATCTCATTTATCTTTGAAGTCAACTTTGAAGTAGGCATTATTATGGAGAAACCTGTACTCAACAGAGGTTAAGTGACTCGCCCAAAGTCACAATTCCTTCTCTTCAATTTAACATTGAACAAGCAAGTACTGTGCTAAGTGCAGATAATAAGAAGATAATTAAAATCCCAATTCCTTGCCTTTCTCCCTTTTCCTCTTTGTTAATCCCTGGCCTCTGCTAAAACCCAGGAGCCTAGATAAGCAATTCTGAAAAGATTCTTCTCCTAGTGGTGGTCCAGGTAGCTTTTTCCCCTTAAGGTCTCTGCTTTGTTAAAGTGAAAGCTACATTTGAAATTAGATCAGAGACCTTTCTGAAAAGTCAAATAGGGTATGAAGCTCTCGTGTCTTGGGCTGCTCATCCACTGCTTTATGGAATTCTCTCCATGGACTCATCTACACTATTATAAATCATTTTTAAAACTTATTAGATTGTCTGGTCAATATAAAGTTAGTTCTTGTTATTACATTCCATTTACTACTCGTTCTGAGAGTTAGTTTTATTTCCCCAAATAAATATAAATTCCTTATAGTCTTTCTATACCCTTTGAAAGGACATTATTTACTATATTCCTTTCATCTGTCAACAGCCTTTCTGCATATGGTCAGTCCTTGTGTCTACTGGCCTTTCTTCAACTAATTTTAAAGAAAGGATATTTTCTAACATGGGTTCTTTATTTGATCAATTGTGTTACTTGTTCATAGTTATTTCTTCAAGATCTGATCTTAATTCTTTCAGATCCTGCTGGTTGGCTAATATGCATAGCTGTACGGCTGTCCTGATATTTTCACTGAGCACATTCAGTAGTTTAGGGTATTTTTAGTTTCAGGGAAGGACCGTTTTTAATTACAAAGAGTAGCTGTCACATAGATAGCCTTCTGAAAGAAACTTTCTTCGCCCTACTTACCTCTGCAATCAGATCATGTAGCTCTCCTTCACTGGGGCAGCATCCTAATGACCTCATAATTGTTCCAATCTCTCTGGGAAAGAAAGGTTGTCAATAGTTTTAGAATATAAACTCTGAAAAGGCAAGTGCTAGATTTCTCTAAATTATTTCAGAGCATATGTATTATAACATAGCAACCAAATCACTCTGATATTGTCTTGTGATTATAAAAGATGCTTCCTGGGAAAAGAAAAAGGCAGGCAAGTGAACCAAAGACAGATGAAAGAAATGTTTTCACTGACTGGCAAATGCAAGCCCTGCCTGGGCCAAAATCAAAAACTTCTAGAAAAGGAATAGAAAGGAGCGGTGGGGAGTAAAAAAAGAAACATCAGCCACTGACCAGCTGATTTTAAGTGTTATTTAACTCTTTTGAGCCTCAGTTTCCACATCTGCAAAATGGGCATGATGATGTCTACCCAAGGGTTTTGAGGTGAAGTTTACATTAGTATCACAGTGCTTAAAAAGCATGGCCTCTAATGCCAAACAGGTAGGGTTCAAATCCCAGCTCTGTGACTTGCTAGATGGGGCAGGTTACCTACCTAATCTCTGTGTACATAAGACTACCTGGTAGGTAACAGAGTACCTTCCTTGAAACACTTACAACTGGACTGGGGGACACACTAAGAGTCAAATAAGAAGAGCTATCGTAATGTAAAGCATAATTCTTGGCAGAGTAGCCACTCAATAAATGTTAGTTACTCAACTCACTCTGCTCCCTAATAATGTAGTTCAATGCAACAAATAACCTAAAAGTATAAATTCTATTCAATACACCTTGGATACTAAGACCAGGGATTTATAACACATTATTAAATATTTCCATTCAAAATTATTAAAACTAAAGTTGTAATATTTGCATGTTAATTTAATTTCACAAAAATTCACTTAAGTAGACTATTTACCATTCTAGATAAGTTTAGTGGAATTATATTTATTGCCAATTTTACTGAGAAAGCATTTAAATAAGAATTTTAAAATTCTTCTCTTAAAGAGGTTGCAGGATGAGTATCAAGTTGAAAGAAAACCCTAAAGTCAAGAACTGTGGAAACAGGATTCTTACTTTTCATTTATTGATTTTCCTTCATAATAAATGAAAGGCCAAAAAAAATTTAATGTCTTCCTGTCACCCATATTTCATACCTCCCTGAGTAGCTTAGACTTGACATTGTTTTTCATGCCCATATCCCTCATTTAGGCAAGATCTGAACATGACAGTGTTACTATTAATAGAAACTAAAAACATTTTATAAGATTATACTTTCTCTCAAAATGTCCCTAGAGGTATCCCATGAAATTGAATAACACCAATGTAGTAAATTAGTTATTATAACACCAGACTGGCTATTGTATACATTAGAATGAATAGTTAATGAGGCAGGGACAAAAAAATATGATTTGAAAAGTATTCACAGATTTATATCCTCTGCAACATTCTAAGCCTTTTGGTATTCAAATCAGAAAACTGCTTAAACTCCAGAATCAGAGAAAGAAGGATAAAAGTTGTGTTAACACAACAAAAGGGAGAGCAGGAAAGGGAGGACGGGGAAGAAGGTCTTTGCAGGAAAGAATTTTGAAGGAGACTAGGACAAATATTGCATGTTTTCACTCATATGTGGGAGCTAAAAAAGTAGATCTCATGGAGGTAGGGAGTAGAATGGTGGTTACCAGAGGGTGGGAAGGGAAGGAGGGAAGGATGAAGAGAAGCTGGTTAATGGGCATAAAAATACAGTTAGATAAAAGGAATAAGTTCTCTTCAATAGTACAGTAGGGAAAGTACAGTTAACAATAATTTATTGTATGCTTCAATATAGCTAGAAGAGAATTGTTATATTTTCAACACAAAGAAAAGATAAATGTCTGGGGTGATGGATACCCCAATTACCCTGACTTGATCATACACATTGTACACCTGTATCAAAATAGCACATGTACTTCAAAAATATGTACAACTATGATATGGCAATAAAAAGTATATTTTAAAAAGAATTTTGAAGGATGCGAGATGAGGAAAAGAGCAATTCTAGGTCTGTGCTGTCCAGTACAGTAACCATAAACTAACTATATCTGGCTATTAAGCATCTGAAATGGGATTAGTCCGAATTGAAGTGTGCAGTAAGTGTAAAAATACACACTGATTCCAAAAACTTAGTATGGAAAAAATAGCTCATTAATAATTTGGAATATTGATTATATGTTGAAAGGATAATATTTTAGACATATTGGGTTAAATAATACATATTGTTAAAATTAATTCTACCTGGGTTAAATTAAGTTTAGCCTAAAGCTGCCTCCTTACATATTTTAAGTTCGACCTAAAGGTTTCTCCGTAAGTACTGAATTGTAACCTAACTGTTATAATTAGTTGTAACTGTGTAAATAGACTGTAACCTAGGCTTGGACCAATCGCAGAGTTTTGACCAATCGCAGGAGGCCAACTGTTCAAACTATATTCAGATAAGGCAAATGCCAAGCTGTAACGAATCTACCTGTTTCTGAATCTAGCCATTTCTGTACCTCATTTCCGTTTTCTGTACATCACTTTCCTTTTTCTGTCCGTAAATATCTGACCATGTGGCACCTCTGAGTCGCTCTGAACCTATTCTGGTTCAGGGGGCTGCCCGATTCTCAAATCATTTTTTGCTTAATTAAACTCTGTTAAACTTAACTTGTCTAAAGTTTTTCTTTTAGCACCTGTTCAGAGGGAATAGATACCATCACGAGTCAGATTCTGAGAAGAGAGGCAGATAAAGAGAACATTAGAATTACATGGTGCTCTGTCAGCAATAGAAATCCCCTTGTGCCTCTCTGAGAAACTTTAAACAATATTTAAATTGTTTTTTAATATTTTGGGGCTATATGGATTGTGGTTTTTCTCTAATGTTATAATACTGGACCCAAGATAGCCATTTTATATTCAGGTTATTTAAGTGCTGTATGAGATTATGATACAAATTTCCCTGCCTTACATTTTCTTAATACTTTATGTGCATAATATTTGGAAAGTACTTTCACATATGCAATCTTACTTTTCACAACGACCCTGTCCTAGTTACCTACGCATTATTATTCCAATTCACAGATAAATAAACTGAAACTTAGAAAGGATAAATGACCTGCCCACGGTTGCACAGCTAGTGAGTGGCAGCACTAAAGTTAAAATGATGCCAGATCCCATTCATTCAACAAAACAAATATGAGTGCCTACTATGTGCCATAGAGTAAGCTAGGTGCTAAGGATACAGTAATGAATAAGCTAAAAATTATCCTTGTACTCATGGAATTTATGTTCTAACAGAGAATGATGAACAAACGATTATAATAAAGGAGATAAATTGAGGGAGGTGGGCAGTGGCTGGTAAAGGATGTCATGGACACATGAAGAAGAGGCACTAAACTAGACTGGGATTACGGGGCCAGGGAAAGCTGCCATCAGAATTAACTTTTAAACTACTTAAAGCTTAAATAGGAAGACAAATGTTTCAAGCAGAGGAATAGCATAGCAAAGGCCCTGCGGTGAGCGGGATCATGAGACAGTAGGGGAGTGGGATTTGATTGGACTCAGAAAGTAAAGGAATGTGACTAATCTGTTACCTCAAGTCGTATTGTGTAGTTCTTATCTGTATCTCTAGTGTGTGCTTTGGAAACAGGATAATGAAGAAACTTGCATATGAAGACTTCGCGGCTTTCCTCTGTGTAGTGCAAGGCAAGGTGCTCTGCTAAGAGTGAACGGGAAAGGAGAAAAGAGAAGTCTTAGCTGTTTCTGGGCTTTCTCCACCACTTACCATCGCCAGGACTTGCCTCTCCGGGCACATATATGTCAAGACGGCAAGCCGCATCCTTGCTTTCACATTCGAAAACCTGCCCTTCCTCACGTGCCGGGTATTTTCTGTGCCCTCCATTCCTCTCCATCTTGCACTTTCCCCAAGGGACGAACCTCTACTGTTGCAGCGGGCTCCTTTGCCTCAGGCTTCCTGTTGCGCTTAATGCAAAGCATAGCATTGCAGTCTTCCGCCGCTGCATAGCAAGCTGTCCAAAGCCTAGTGGCCTATTCAACAACGATGTATTGTTTTTCACGATTCTGTGGGTTGACTGGGTGGTTCCTCATTGGTTTTGCCTACGCTCACTCATGGAGTTATGTTTAGCAGTTAATTACCCCATACACGGTTGCTCAGTACTCTATAGTCAGCCATTTAAAACTGCCATTATCACCATCCTGCACTCTGGGTCCCTTCACCTTCCATCCTGCCTGCTCTGCTCATCTATAACCCTGAACATCTCTAATTTTCATTTCCTTTCTTCCTATGAAGTACTGCTGGAAGAAAATAGTTAACAGAAAAAGCCATGACCTACTACCAATTCATGCAATCCAATATCAAATGTATCCTGGATGCGGCCTAACAATCCTTTCATTCATCTCCTGCTGATTTCCTAGAAAACTCCCCCCAAAACAGCCATTCTGGATCATGTCTTGCCACAAGTTCCAAACGCTGACTCACTTCATCCCAGCAGAGTCCTTCTCACCCACTTCACATGCAAACTGCCTATCACTGGGCACTATGATTAATCCTCATATCACCTTTATAGTCACTGACTTTGTACCACTTTAGAGGTATGTGCTCCCAGCCGTGAGAGAATAAAAAGTGCTCTTCCTTCTCAAGCAAGCCCCTTAGATTTCCTTAGTTCCAGTCCTGGCTCTTGTTCTTAACACGCTTGCTTTTCCCTCTCAGCATCTTCATTCTTTTCTTTGGTAGCTGCTTCCTCTTTTGCCCTAAAATTTTCAGATATCTTCCTTATGCTGAGAAAAAAAATTGTTAGGTGCTTCACCACCCCCAACCATTCTATTTCCCTGCCTCCTTTCACTAATTACAATACCTTTCTTCCAAATTACTTATCTTGTAACTGGATAAGTTACAAGATACGGAAAACTCCATTTTCCACTCACCCACCATAGGCCTAACTCCTTTGCAGAATCCTGCCGTCACTAGCTCTCCACTAGTCAACCAATCAGTCTATGTCTCCCTCTCACCCCCTCCT